CAGGGAGGGCCCCTAAACCATTTTTTTAAAATAATTTTTTTTAAAGATTCATTTCATTTATTTATTCATACAGAACTGGGGTACAGTGTAGAGGCACAGAGAAAACTCACCAGAGACAGAGTGGGGAGCAGAACAGGCTGACTGACAAAGTACACTGCTGAGGGGAGCAGCAGGTAGGTCAGAAGAGGTCTGCCACACTATGTGGATCAGCTCCGGGGCCAGGGATCACACTCACACTGAAGCAGCTACAGATGGCTTGCAGTGCTGCACTTTAACCTGCTGCATCACCAAGGAGGGCCTAAACCATTTTCTAATGGTTGAGGTAAAATTGGGAAGATATGAAACTACGCTTTGGTAGTTTCCCTAACAAAGTGAAGTCTTCAGTGTCAATAGTAGAGATATTTTTAATATAGAGTATTAATAATTTTAATTCCTGTCATTTCTCAGTTTTATGGAGACACATTTGTTTTCCTTTGTGTGATGTAAAGAGAATGTGAGAAAACTGAATGGGCTTTTGTCAGTACTGTGTTTTTTAGTGCACAAGACATTATTTTATCGCCAAAACGGAATTAAAACTTGGGATAGTTTGTTTTTCCATCAGAATTTGTCCTATTGGAAAAACTCAGAATAAGAGTTTTATTTATACAATGTCAAAAATTAACTCATTCTAGTTGACAGACCATTGATTTGGATAAAATATCAGCACATCTTTCTCCAGATCTTCCAACCTCTTTGTTAGAATGGGCCCATATCATATATTCTGGAAACATCTTAGTTTTGTTAGGATTTGAGATTTTTTGTCCCTGCTTATTAAAGCAGTTTCTGCACCAAAACTCAACCCCAGAAAACTATGGTGTTGAGTGGGGGACTCCATCCTCACCCTCCATCTCTAGCTGGGACCTGTGGAATGTGAATGCTAGTTGATTGTAACCAGTTGATTCCCATGACATGTTAACATTTGCCTGGCTTGATGAAAACCATGTTAATCTAGTCTGTCTTTTGCTGAGATGGTGTTTCCTCCCTGAAACTCAGAATTCCTGTTAGAAAACTGCAAGTGGTCCCTCAATGTGTAACTTTGGAGGATAGACTCCTGAATTTGGAAAGTGCTGAGACTAACAGTTGGAGATTTGGTGGGGGTGGATTGTTCACTCTCCCACTCCTCACGCCCAGCACCATAATTTTGGGGATGCAAATGGGTGTAGACACAGCTACAATGATTAGAAAAAGCTCTTTATTTGATGTAGGGAACTTATGTCCTTGCAAAATCAGGTCTTCCAAAGAAATAAGAAAAGAGCTTTATGGGGGAATGGCTAGAAGAGAAGAAAAACCCCACTTTGGAGTTCATTTTTTAAATTTAGAAGTTTCTACTGAAATGTAACATGTATGGAAAAGCATATAAGCATCAGTGTATAAGCTGATTAATGATCACAAACAATACATTGAGGTAATTACCTGTTAGGTCATTTTTAAAAAGTTTATGTGTGTGTGTGTATATATATATATTTATATATATATATATATATATATATATAAAACATCACTGTTCATTTTTTTTTACAGTGTTTGCTTTGTTTTCTCAGGTGTAGTCCCCAAAGTATTTCCACCACCAGTTCACCTGTGTACTCTCACCTTCATCTTCTTCCCTCCCTCGTTTTGATCCCTCTTCCTCCCCTCCTCTGCAGAATGTCTCTGATTTAGAGTTGTCTGTTTATTTTGCTTTGCTGTGTTGTGTTTTTTTCAATTGTTACTTTTTATTTCTTTCCCCTGATCCTTTATTGGGTTCCCCTATATTTCTCTCCTGGGATAGCTTTAAATGCCATCATTGTCAAGGTTGCTGAATATATCTACAAATACTTTTCTTTTGACTTTAGATCATGCTTTTTAAACTCATTTTTCTTCTGAAATTTTCTTGTGGGGTGTGTGTTTTTGTGTGTTTACTTTTCCTTAGATTTGTAGCCACTTTCCTGTCTCTTAACTAGATGCTCTGGAAATTTTTGAAAGAGATTTTGTCTATGCTCAGGGGAGCTCAGTCTTGGGCCCACCAGGCCAGGCGCAAGGTGCCTTGCTGGTGAGATTGAGGGAGGCAAAAGGAGAAGTAGCAAAGGACCTGGAGACTGCTGGACTGACTGCCCATCTCCTGGAGACTTCTTTCATAAAATCATTCTGTTTTTAAAGTATTGGGGGAAATGGGGTTTTAAGGAAGAACTCTTCTTTCATTTTGGCAGTGTCACCTCTGCAGTCTACACACCCCTTTTAGCTGCCTCCATCTCTTACTACGGTCCTGCTGGCTGCCTTCCAACCCGGGGAATGGGCCTGCATTCCCACCTCCCTCTCTGGCTACTCCTGGATGCACTGTTTCCTTTTATTCATTCATTCATTCATTCATTCATTCATTCATTCATTCATTCATTTATGCATACAGAACTGGGGTACAGGCAGAGACAGAGTGGGGAACAGAACAGGCAGATTGATGAAGTACACTGCTGAGGGGAGCAGCGGGCAGGTCAGGTGACCACGCCATGTGGTCACCTCCGGGGCAGGCGGGAATCAAACTCATGTGGAAGCAGCTTTAGATTCTCAGTGCTGTGCTTTAACCCACTGCGCCACCAGGGAGGACCACACTGTTTCCTTTTAACAGGTTTCTTTGTGGCATCACACTCCCCAGGTGGCTTTTTTGCGACCTTGAACCCTTAGCTAGTGGGACCTCCTGTCGCCCTTCTACCACTGCTGCAGCTGTCCTCACTGAGCGCTTTGTTTGATGAGCCCTCCGCTTACCTCTGATAAAAGCCCCTTAGTTTATACTTTGTCCTTTTAATTAAACAACCCCAGCTGCAAATGGCAGCATAAATTTTACTGTTGATAATTCCCACTACTTAACTTGGGCTCTTAGAGATGATCAAAAGGAGGTTTTTAAACTTTGTTCAGGTTTACTGGTTAAGCCTCTATTGCAAGAAATTTGGGGTTACCTGAATTCTTGTGACAACCTCTTAATTTTCCCTTGAGCTGAAAGATGACTCTTTAAAACAATTTTTCTATTTTAAATTTAAAAAATTCTAGGGCATACAAAAATGCATATAGAATAGCATCATGAACCTGTTTCAGCTTAAAAAAAATAAAACATTACGCCTGGAGTTGCTGATAATTTTATCTCCTTATCCTTATCGTCTTATTTAGTCACCACAGTTTTTTCCCCCCATGTTAATTAAAAAACAGTTCATAGGGAGATTTATCCGTCGCTGTAAATAACCCCTTAGCACTGTTGGAATATTTCATCTTGTGTTTTATTTATTATAAAATACCACTGTTTTGAAAACAGTGTTTATCATTCCCATACATTTTTAACTACATTTGTAAACATCCCTAATTAACTTAGTATTGGTTTTCTTTTCTTTTTATTGAGGTAATGTTATTTTACAACATTGTATAGGTTCTAGGTGTAGAGTTACCTCAGCAACTGTCACGCCACACCTACCTCTGAGTGAGATTCAGTATTGTTTTGCATGCTTTTAACTTAATGCAAGTGGTAGAATGTGATATGTAGCCACTTGCCACCTGCTTTTGTCATCATTAAATATTTAATCAAGCACAGAGCCTTAAGAACTTGCTACTTGGTTCCTTGAAATACTCTTGATTTATAATAGGTTGCAGCAGAGATTTTTTACTATCTAAATAAGATTTCATGATCATTAAATCAGCAGGGCTACCCTATTTTGGGTTCAAAGGCTCTTTCCATCTTTAATCCGGCCATGTCTGCTTATAGCATTGCCTAATTTTTTTTTTTTTTTCATTCTGGAACACACCCATGAACTTGTTGAGACATACCAGGGGAAGGTAAGCGCCTTCCACCCACATTTCACTCCCTCTTAACTATCCAGCTGTCCAACCACACCCAACCCTTCCCCTTCTCTTCATCGTGGCCATTCCCCATCTCCTCTGTGCAAAACAGAAACCTGAACCAAGAGAGCTCAGAAGAAAAACCAAGCTACTGTTACATTCAGGGGATTATGCTGATCCACAAGAAAAAAATAGTTTGCTCTGTAACAGAACTTTGGATTCCCTGGACCACTTATGATAACTCTTCAAAATAGCTAAGAACTTTGCTTTGCCACTCAGTGATTCAGCCATTCAGCATCTATTTATTTTTTGTTCACTGCGCCAATTATTAGTAAATTAATATGGTCTCTGCCCTCATGGAATTAATAGTCTGGTGAGGGGAAAGGATATAAATGGGTCACATAAAGTTGCAACTGTGCACAGTGTTAGGAAAGAATGTATATAAAAGGAAGTTTTCATCTAGCTAGGGAAGGTGAGTATGGAAGTAATGTTTTAACTGAGATCTAAAGACTATGTAGGAGTTACCTAAGGAAAGAGGAGATTATTCCATGTTCAGGTGCAGAGGGCCAGGAGCAGGAGGGGCATGGCATGTTCTTGGTGCTGCAACCCAAGAGGGAAAGGTGGCTGGGAGAGATGGGCTAAGATGATTCTGGAAAGGTTGGCTAGGCCAGGCAAGTCCGTGCCATGGAAGTACTCATATCTTTCTTTAACAGCAATGGGAAGTACTGTATTTCGTGAAGTAATTATTTCATGTGTTATGTCATTTTTTTTTTCCAGTTTAAAAAGCAGAAACTCCTCCTAGAATTAGATCAGTATGCCCCAGATGTGGCCGAACTCATCCGAACCCCAGTGGAAATGCGTTACATCCCTCTGAAAGTGGCCCTGTTGTAAGTATTCTCTGACAAAACAGGGCTTAGTGCCGATGAGTGTGAGGAAAATCTGATGAGACTTTCTCATGTTGTTTGTTGTATTTTTGGAGATTTGCAGTCTTAGTCATCAAGTATTTGCTGTAGTTCTGTTGCACAACTGGGGTTCTGGCCAGCAAAAAAGACAGAGCCATTCTGTCTCTCTTGGGACAAAGCCTTAACACAGGGACATGCACAATCAACCCTTCACAAATGTGTTTTGACTCAATGCTGATATGGCATCCAGCCTACTTAGAGCCAGTGTTTCTGTTAAACAAACAAAAAAAAATTTTCCAATTGATATTCATGGATTCGATAAAATTCTGATCTCTATGTGACTGTTGTTGTAAGCACGCCTATGTTTTAGGTATAACTTAGTCCCTAACTTATAGTTCAGCAAACTGAGAGAAATTGTCAAAACAGACCCATCTCAACTGGTGATCAGTTTGGGAAAGTGGAAATTAACTGAGATTTTTAAAAAATATTTCTAGGAGTATTCAATGCTACCAGTAAATTTAATTCTTTCAGGTTAAAAAAATATATATAATTCTTTCAGGTTATTCCTGTTTATATTCCTGAGGTAGGCAAATGTGGATACATATTCAGTCAACTAATAGTCTTTGAATATTAATGATATACTAGTTTCTGGGGACACATAGTAAATAAGACAGACAAGTTTCCTCATGGAAAAATATGACTATAGAACTTCACAATTAAAAGGAACTTTATGAGGACAGTTTATTCAGTCTTCTGCTGTATGTGCCAATCTGTTTTCCACTATCTGAGATAGATGGCTATGCACCTGCTTCTTGAGCATCATCTGTTATTTAGAAATGGCTTTCTTTTCTCTTTCCCATCAAAAAGTTTGAATATCAGTTTATATCTGTGTATATCAGCAATACTGGATGGTAACTATCTTAATAGAACCAGAGATTTAGCAATATTATGAATCCATTATGGACTCATATGTCTTCTGGGGATAGTTTTGTAATAGTAGTAGATAGTACTTTAAAGGTTGAATAATAGGACTGTGATTGTTGAAAGAAAAAAAAACACCAACAATTTCTAGGCTTTTGGCTTTAGAAGTGCTAATCTTACGGTTTAGGAGGTATTGGATTTAAGGGCTTTATTTGTTAACAATAATTATAATCTGTCTCTGAGACACTAGTATATTTCATCCCATCTGTAGTCAGAATTATGTAATTGATCTCACTTTTCACTTTGTCAGGAAACTCAGAGTTAGAAGGTGATTATTACAATGTTGTAGGTTTTCTTTCCCTGGTCTTGATTCTATTTTTACTTTTAAGCTACCACAAATCTTTTGAGGAAACAGGACAGAAACAAAAAAGTAATAATAAATTATGACTATTTGATTTTTTTTTCCCTACTCACAGCATTTAAAATGTATTTCACAGTCCATTTCTTTTCATTTTAGGAAAAGAGTAAAAGTTTCAGATTAATGTCTTGTTAGTAGTTCAACCTAAGATATCCTGTGAAATTCTATTCCAACTAGCTTGTGAGTTCAGCAGATACTTATTCTGTCCTGAGAGACTGATTCAGTGGCTATCAACAGGGCTAATCCAAGCTACTCTTGAAGGAGAGGTGTGGGCTGTGTCAGAGTTTAGGAAACGGATTGAAGAAAAAGTTTCCTGGTTTTCATAAGACAACTGTTGCCATTCCTAAAATATATAACTCTGTGGAAACTGGGGGAATTTTATCATTTTTGAAGTCTGATGTCGTAGAAAGACCATAGGCTTTAGAGTTAGAAAGTCCTGAATCAAGTGTTTTAGCTAATGAAACCTCAGGCAAGTTAGTTAACCACTGATTCTCAGCTTCCTCCTCTGTAAAAATAAAAATAATGTTGCTAACTTATAGGATTTTTGAATAATTAAATATGATGGTTTTCCAGAGAGAGTACCACAAACTAGCAGGTGAATATTCATTGCCTCCAACCCCATTCTGTTTCCTTTTACTCAGAAGAACTCATTTCTAAGAAAATGCCTTCCCATGAGTATGCTCTTAATAAATCTTTTGAATTTCCTGACTGTGGTGGTGAGTACCACAGGTCCTTACCAGGAGTACTAATGCCGGTTATATGTGTTCTTCCCCAGCTATCTCTTAAATCCCTATACCATCTTGTCATGTGTTGCCAAGTCTACGTGCGCCATCAACAACACCCTCATTGCTTTCTTCATTCTGACCACGGTAAAAGGTAAGGCCCCAAAGAAAAGTACAAAGCTCAGCTCTAAATCTGTAGGGCTTATAGCAGCAAACTGTAAGTTTTTTTAAAAAACAATGCAACGTTTAAGAACATTGTAAAAGTAATACAAGATTATTACTTAAAAAAGTAATACACAAGTAATACAAGATTATTACTTAAAAAGTTAGGTAATTCAAGAGAAAACATTAATTAAAATATTTTTAAATTCTACCACTCCGAGAATCTCTATTCATATAGTTATTTTTTTTCTAAAAGTCTCATAGTGAGAATAGCAACCCTCTGCCTCCCTCTTTCTATCACTTGTTCAGTTTCTTTGAAATAAATATTTGCTAACTGTTACTAATATTTACATCTGTATTTTTAAATAAGACCTTTTTTTTTCCAGTGAATTATAAATTTTACACATTATCTACTTCATTCCTACTGTGGTATATGAATGTTTAGCTCTTTTTCATACTAATATCTACACTTCCCCTTTAACTAATTTTCCTAAATAAATTATGTCACACTTTTGATAAAATTCATCGAACCTGTATTTTTTTGTGACACTATATACATTATTTACTGCTGAACTAAGAGTAACATGTAAGAGGTAGGTGGAATCTAAGTAATTAACTGATTTTATTTTTCTGGTACAACCTTTTCTTTTTCCCGGGCATAATAATTATCTTTCTCTTGCTTTTTTTTTTTTACCCATTCTTTTTATACCAATCACATCTCACACACAGACATTCCCCGTCCCCCGCCCCAGTTACTCTGTTAGATCTATAAAGTGCCTAAAAGTAGTTGGTGGGGTTTTTTTTAAGATTTATTTTTATTTATTTATTTATGCATATAAAAACTGGAGTATAGGTCGGAGGTGCCAGGGGTGAGGTGAGAGGATTCCCCAGAGACAGAGTGGGGAGCAGAACAGACGGATGGACTAACATACAGGGGAGCAGCAGGCTGGACAGGAGATGTCTGCTGTGCCACGTGGATCACCTCCTGGGTGGGGATTGAACTCCCACTGAAGCAGCTGTGGCTAGCTTACGCCATCAAGGAGGGCCAAGGGTTTTATTTTTAATGCTAAGATACATGAAGTAGTCCATTGTTTCCATTATTATTCTGGGGGCCTCCCTCACACATCCTTCATCCTACCCTAATTTGTCCTGGTTGTTGTCTGGACTTGGTGCCAAGCTGTCACGCTGAGATTGCTCTTTATAATTCTCCCTTTTTTCTTAGATACCATCTTTCCTTTATTGATTTTTTTCATCTTTAGTAGTTTCTAGGAAAGGATGTAGGAAAGATATATTTTGAATCAGTCTATATCTGAAAAATGTCTTTATTCTAGTTCAGTGTCAAATTAATCATTGGATTAGGATATAGAGTTCTAGACTGGGAAATCTTTTTCTTCAGAATTTTGAAGTGTTGTTCCATTGTCTTCTAGCATCCTGCTTGCTGTTGAGCAGTTTGATTGCCAGTATATGTAACCCAGTTTTTCTGTCTGACAGATTTAGAACCTTCTTTTTATCCTCAATCCTCAATGTTTTAAAGTTTTATGATGCTATGTCTTTTTTTTAATAATATTATTTTATTTTTTTAGATGCTATGTCTTAATATGGGTCTTTTGTCATTCATTATCCTGGGTACTTTGCAGATCTTTTTAACATAAAAACTAGGTCCTTTAGTTCTAAAAGGTGTTTTTCAAAATATCTCTTTTCTGTTTCTCTGTTTTCTCTGTCCTCTTGTTAAGAGTCTCCATGTTGTACTTGCTTGTTTGACCTAATTTGTATATTTTATTTTCTATCAATTTTCCCATCTTTTTTTTTTTTTTGCTTTGTTTTTTGCTTTGTTATCTTCTAACTGTTCTGTTGGATTTTTAATTTTTAAGTTATTTTTGTCTCCAGTTGTTTCTTTAAAAGCATTCTATTGTTTTATTACAATATATCCTCATCTCTCTGAATTTTTTTTTCAGTTTCCATCTGTTCCAAGCATGTCATTGTCTTTCTGGTCCACCTGTCCCTTTTTTAATTTGTTTTGGGAGCTATGCACATCAGGATGGGTGCATGATGCACGTGTGTATGTGTTCATGAGAATTACTTATTCTCACCATGGAGAGATCAGTGGGCTAATTTTTTTTATTGGCGGTATCTCTAAATGTCATCATTTATAGATTTTCTTTTCCTCTTAACTATTTAGTTTTCCCAAAGGGGAATACTCCAATTTCCTGCCTACGGATAGCAGAGTTGGAGTAGCAGTGGGCGAGGTTGTTAATGTGATCAAGTACTGAAGTTTTGAGAGCAGGAACAGTGGGTTGCAATACAGAGACCGATTTCTTTATTTTTCAGTTCATTCTTCTCCTCAGCCTAGTGCTGTATATAGTATCCACCCCTCCTGTGTCACTAATTTTCTACAGAAAAACCATAGTCTCCTAGGGATAGAGCAGAAAGTTGAGGGGTGAGGTATGTAGGGGTAACCAAGTGGCTGCACATAGTTGGGATGAGACCTGGGGTTCTGACTGCATTGTTATCAAACTTTCAGCTTCATTAGCATTTCTGTATCTTAACGCCCACTTTTCATAGTATATGAGTCCTTCAAAGGGCTGAATATCTCACGAGTTCTGTGGCATGAGTTGGCCTGATTTTTGTTGGCATTCCTCTCTTTTGGCCACTGGACTATAATTTCTAACACATTGTTAAGTTATTATTACTGTACCACCTACTATTGTGTTGAAATTTATTTTGTTGTAATCTCCTTTTCAATTTTTTTTTTGTGGTTAAATACTAGTTTTGGTCCTTTATTGATATTTTAGTCAATATACAGGTGGAAGTCTTTCTACTAGCATTTGAAGTATATATTTCCAGATTTTTCCCCCTGCATTCTTCTTTGGCACTTATAAATATTGTATCAATTAACCATAACAATAAAATGTTATTGAATAAATCATCCCAGTGCTCTATGGTTTAAAACAACAGTGAGCATTGATTTAGCTCATATATCTGTAAGTCAGGGAGGGGGTCAGCTGATTTAGGTTGAATGTGGCTGGACAGTTGGTTTCATTGGTCTTATTCTTACATCAATGGCTGGCTATAGTTGGCTTTTGTAGGCTGGCTCTTTTTCGCATGTCCATCATCCTCCTGCATCGGGGAACTAATTTAGACATGTTCTTCCCCTAGTGATGGCAGAGGCAAAATGTGAAGACGTCCAATCCAGGAATATGCTTTTTAAGTTTCTGGTTGCATCGTAATGTGGTCACATCCCATTGATCAAAATGGGATCATGTGGTTGAGTCCAGAGGGAGTCTTCCATCCTGTCTACAATGGAAGAGCACTATAGCATTATAAGGTGGAATGCCTGGACATAGAGCGGGGTGGAAAATTGGGATCAAAAATACAATCTACAAAGCTTCCCTGGTGGTGCAAGGGTTTAATGCAACACATGAAGCTATCCACAGCCGATGCAGCACCACTTCAATCTCTGGCCAGAGGTGTGACCCACATGGCTCCTGTTTCACCCACTTTTCCCCTCAGCAGTATATTTCAGTCAATCTGCCTATTCTTCCCACTCTGTATCTGGCGAATCCTCTCACCAACCCCCAGCCCCCTGCACCTCTGGCTTTAGCTCTTGTATGCATAAAATATATGAAATAAATCTTTAAAAATATATACTCTCAGCTCTATAGCAAAGCAAATTGAAAGAACAGAGTGACTTTTTTTCCCTTTCAAATTGGCAAGGATTCTAGGAGATAATTCTTAGTTCTGGGAAAGGCGCTTTCAAATAGGCATTATCCTACATGTCTAAATCCTACATGATTTATATTAATACAGCCTCCTTGGGAAAGCAGCGTGGCAGTAGTCTTAAAATGCTTGTAGTTTTGATTTACTAATTCTACTTTTGAGAAATTATCCAAAAGTAATTCAGAACTGTAGACAAAGCATTATGTGAAGTCATTAGTTGCAGGATTTATAATGACAGGAAAAATTGAAAAATACTTCAGAAGTAGATGAATGGTTAAGTAAAATATGGTTTGCCTGTATAGTTATATAAAGTACAGTTTATCCATGCAGTGTTTAAAAAATAATTGTAAATTATGTGAGAATACATTAAAACAGAATACACAATTGTGTATTTTGTGTATAAATACACAAATTTATAAATATAATCAAAGCTATGTTAAAACAGCAATAAAAACAGAAAATAGATTTCAAAGAGTACTACGTGTCTGTGTAGAGTGATTTTTATTTCTTCTTCATATCATTTTTCCCCCAAGGTAAATTAACTTGATTAGTAAAGAGATAGATGGTAAACCTCCCACTTCTCTCCCCAGACTTATGCAGCTGGTATCCCACAGAAGTGGGGGCTTGTTTACTGTATTCCCCTTAACTCCTCTACTTGTTCTTCCCTGACTTCTTCTGTGGCACCCCAGGGTTGTGTGGCACACACTGAAACCCAGACCCAGGCCATTGTATTGTGATAGCTGATGGGCTGTTGGCTGGAAAAGGCCTGTGGGAGGAATGATGTTAGTTTAAAGGAGCAGCTTGTTTTTCACTTCTAGTCAAGGGGTACTCTGTCTTTCAGTGAGCTAAATTACAATAATTCCACTTCCGTAAGACAGTCTTTGTTAGGCTTTAAACTGAAGCAAACAGGTTACTTCTGCTTGTTTATTGCTGGTGTTTGTCAACAGTGAGATTTCCAGATCAGGAATTCTTGAGGTTTGCCACTTGAGAACCCTTTCCGCTTTTATTCTACTCTAATTCACAGAGCCTCTGTGACAGGGACCTTGCTATATAAGGAAAAAGAAGGATTAATACTATCAGAGCAGAGCAAGGTGATGAGACCTCAGGATTCTCTGATGCCTGATCTCGTAGCTAGTCCCAGGTCCATCACTTCCTGTTTTTATCACCTTCAGTAAGTCATCTAACTTCTGGGTCACAGTTTCCTTATCTTAACAGGGTTGAAACAGTTCCTACTGCATAGAGTGAATGTAAAGAATGGATGAGATGGCCATCTGC